AGAGAGAGAGAGAGAGAAAGAGTTTCACTCTTCTTCTATCTGTTTTATCTTTCTCGTTTCCTGTCTTGACGTTAGCGTGCTTTCTTTCTTTCATATATACATACATCTGCTGTTTTTAATTCTCGCGCTTAATCGATCTTTTGTTTTTTTTTTTTTTGGATTTCTTTTACAGAAATCATAGGTTCGCTTTTCATTGATCAACGATCTATGAATTTTTTTCGATCGAGATATTCTTTTCATACTTGCAACAGCCATAATGGCGAAATGAGCGTAACAAGCGAATCAATCTAATCGTCTAACGAAAGACGAACGAAAGATCGAATATATAGCAGATGGTTGTAATATGTAGCAGACAGCGATTTTTTTTTTTAATAAAATTGGAAATACGCGGTATATTCGTATGTGTGAGACGCAGTGACGTGGCAGGATCAAAGGCTTGAAAGCAAGAGACTCGAAATGAGAGAACTTTCGTTTCTATAGGGCTATGAGGAGGTCAGAGAGAGAAGGATCGCAAGGCGAACACGCTTTTTTTCGCATTTTTCTTTGCTTTTTTGTTCTTCTTTTTTTTTCTTTTTTTTTTTTTCTTTTAATGTTCTTAATCCACGATTTCAGTTTTTTCGCCGGTGTCCGCTACCGTGGCACAGGAGATTACTTTCGCCCCCTCTTTGCCTACTTTTGTGATTTAGAATTAGTGTCTTAGCTTTCGGTTACCTGAAAAAAAGTCAACGAAAGAACATGAAGCGGAATTCTAGAATAAATCTCGATGCCGAATTGCGTTATATTTTTTTGTTTTTTTTTGTTTTGTTTTATAATTTGTTCCTTTCTACGACAATAAATATTAAATACATCGTATACCATCGTCTCACGACAAAATATTTAAAGAAAGTGAGAGGGAGAGAGGGAGAGAAAGAGAGAGAGAAAGAGAGAAAGAAGAGAAGTAAGAAACGTGCGTGCGTGCATGCACAAATTCTCGAATACCCAGTCAGTCAAAGCGTCGGTGTACCCAGTAAGGAAAAATTTTTTAATCGTCAAATATATATTTCAGCTCTTGTGTATAAATATTCTAACATTTCTAATTATAATATTAAAATAATTTATCTAAAGTATTTAATTGTTGCAATAATACAAATTAATATAGGACATTTTTCTACTTTTCTTATGTTTCTAAAGTTTGATCGAAAAAGTAGAAAATACTCGGTATAATAGATATCTACTAGTTCAGGAAATAATTAAATTAAAATTCAAGAAATCAAGGATTTAAAAAAAGGAATTGTATTATATATTATAAATTGAATTAATTATCTATATCTTGATATATAATTGTTTTTTAAACAAATATATTAATAAAATTATGATTGTTTAAATTAAATATATATGAATATTTTTTTTTTGAATACTATCAAATTTTGTTATACTTAATAAATAAAAATAAAAATAAACGAAATAAAAGACTAAAATCTAATTTTTTTTAAAAAATATTATTTAGAACAGTTAAGTTATAGAGAATATACAATATTTATGATTAATATTAAAAATATAGTACATAAAAAAATGTTTATAATATAAACATCTAATCTCTATTAACTCTCGACTTTCCGTGACTTGCCTTGAACTTTGTATACTCTTTGATAAACTTATACAAAGTTGATAAAATGTCAATCAGTTTTAAATCTTTTGACAATATTATGAATATCGATGAATTTCTTACAATATAATTAAAGAAATGATAAACAATAAGACATCCTTTAATCATAAATAATTAAAAGTAATATAATTAATTAATAAATAATAATTCATGATAAAATGGAATCGTTTTTAAATAAATTTGATCAACTAACTTTTCACTTACTAATTATTGTAATGTAAATGAAAAATAATAATACGATTTTGTATTTATCACTACTTGTATGAATCATTTATGAACAAAAAATAAAAAGCACAAACGTTTGTTAAATTGCTTCAATAAGATCTTTATTGAATTTCTAATGCCTTAATATCAATATGAAAATATAATAATTAACAGTTAAATCAAAATTTTTATACAAATATGAATTTTTTGATTATTGTTTAGAATATACTTCCATTTCAAAAATTATTAGCTATTATCTTCGAAAGAAAGAATTTTGCAATAAATTATTTTCCTTTATTGTAAATTTTATCTTTATATATTTAATTTAAAATTCTATTAAAAATTCACGATTCTTTAAGATAAAATTTCAATAGAACACAAAAATCTATGAATTTCAAATTAAATTAATTTCATCTATATGCTCTTTTTTATTTTTTATTTTTTTTATAAATATTGAATAAAATTCATTTTAATATCATTCATATACCTTCAAACAATTATCAGAAATTTGACTTTTTATTTTAAACAAATTAGATTAATTAGTGGTCTCCCTAATTTTTCATTTTTTTTTTATTCTTACTGAAAACAATTTTAAATTGTTTACTTTAACGAACAACAAAAAAAGTTTATATAATTATAATAATGAAATAAAAAACAAAAAAACAAATCCAAGAATAATCTAATCTAGTTTACTTTGACTTTAGAATATTAAATATATGTTCATAGACAGACACAAAAGATTAATAAAGACATGCAAAAATCACAGAATCTTTCTAAACTAACTTCTAGAGCGTGGAAAAATAAAATTTAATTATATTTAGAGAAATAATTCAATAATCATCACAATTTCCAACACAATTTTATGATCATTCAATTGGCGATCTATTTTTTCTCATTTTTTCTTTTATATTTTTTTTACAACACGTATAATTGAATACCTCGAGAGCTGAACATAAAACTTTTAACTTTTTTGCACGTAACACACAATTCATGTATTCGATTACTTGGGTACCCCGATCACAATGAACGACGATAAATTTTAATTGTTGGATTAGCCCTCAGAAAATAAATATAAAATTTAAACTCTCAAAAAAATTGCTTTTGGGAGTTATTTTTTGCTAGTCGAACACTACATTGAGAGTCTTTGATTAAGCAAAAATAAGTTTTAACATCTATTAAGTATCTATTAACAAAAACTTTTGAGAAAAACTCTTGAGAGTGTTTTACTTTGAAATGTATTAGGTTAGGTTAAAAGATACCGAGTTGAAAGCATAGACTTAAAAAACAATTTCACTAATTTCACAGGATTGAAATTGAAATGAAAAACCAAACAAAACCGATTTTCAAATATATTAATACGCTAAATAACAATAATACCGATAAATCATGCTGTAAATATTTATAAAGTACACCACTCACGAATTTAATCTTCAAAGATGGCTACGTGGCCTTTTTCCTTCTCTCTCCATACCTAAAATCTACTTTATCCACTGTTCTTTAAGTTTATAAGTTGAGAATACCTGTCTAACAGTGACTTTCATTTTTAACGCAGTGTCTACTAATCAAAAATAACTTTCGATTCGTACATTGTTTCAATACTCAAAAATGTCAATGATCGTTCAATTTAATGATTTTTAATAATTTTTCACATGATTTATCGTTCACGCTAATTACGTAATAGAAGAAAGTGAAGTTGAAATTATAAAAGATATATAAATTCACGAGAGTAAAAGGAGAGTTCTTCGATAATCATCAGGCTTTCTGCCATATTTGTTTATTATTACGCAAGATCCCGCAACACAAAGAAAATGTGATATAAAGAAAAACCATCCCAGTGCACCCGGTGTAGCAGGCAAATATAATCTCAACGTTGCATTTGGAAGGAATATTTTTTTTTTTACTATTTTTATTTATTAAAAGAAACAAAAAAAAAATTAAAAAGAAATGACATTTTTTTTTAATCAATTAAAAAAAACAACTTTACACTTGTCGTCATCAATCTGTGAGATTACATAAATAAAGAATATAATATTCGTTCCAAATATCAAAAAGTGCATTCCCTCTCCTCTCTCAACTTTTCCCCGGATATCCTTTGATCAAGGAAGAACCATGCCACGGTATCAAGACACCAATCTACTAAAAAAGTGAGCTGCCAAATTAGAGCTCAATGCAACTAACACTGACATTCATCGTCGAGATCTAATTCGCAAGCAAAAGTATTTCTTTATAATAGCGAATCACAGTTCGATAAAAAAAAACTAGTTGCGCAACTCTTCAAGTTTATATCGATCACGAATATATATATATATATATATATATATATATATATATATTATATATTAC